TTCGTTCTCTGCTTCTGACTCTTCTTTGGGAGCGATGTATCTTTTGCAAAAATTAAATTCCAGGGTACCTTAGTTGTTGCTTTTTTGTCCCGGTCAGTCAAAAACTGTCACTTCTTAATGTCCTCCTGCACTTTCCGGCTGAGTGCTTCTTTGAGGCGGCCATTTCTGACTGCTGCTCTTACTGCCTTCGGAAAAGGGAGTTTAACCAGCTGAGGAGGAAAGATGCGGCTTCCCTTGACCCTGCCAGGTCTCCCCTATCTTCACCACCTCTACGGGATGGCTTAACCCTGAAGCCGGCTGGCTCGGGGCACTCCAGCAGCAAGCGCAAGCAGAAACCACGCACGATCACAGATTCCTGCCTGCCGCCGAAGCGCTGCAAACTGGAACCCCTGAGGTGTGGTCTTTCTATTTCACATTATTCTTGTGTGCTAAGATAAGGAGATAACAGACTGGATGATATTAGATTTAGATCTAAAAGCTCCTGCAAGTTTTGTCTGTTGTGTTTTTGATTTAAATTGTAATGCAGGGAGAAAAGAAAGCTTCTCCATATTGTCAAAGGTATGTAGTTTATATACCTAGTGCAGACATATGTTTTCTGAATGCATATACTAAAATGTCAATAAGGCTCCCTCCCTCTTCTTTATTGTATTTATTCATTTGGTTGACTCCTGCCAACTGAGTGGACAATTTCCTGCAGTTTTGATTTATAATTTTCAAAAGTCAATGTCATTATGCCTTCCTAAGGATTGATAACTATGTTCTGGCAGGATGGGCTTCAAAACTTTTAGCAATGGGTTCTCTGCCCAGTTGCCGGATGGGCATGGCCGGCCTCCTGCACAATGGTGGGGGGGGCACTCCCCAGGATCTGGAAGCTTTCCTTGAGCCTCCGGGAGGGCAAAAACCACCTCCCTGGGCAACCTCCCATTTCCAGCCTTCCCAAACTTCCGGGAGGCCCATTTTTCACCTAAATGGGCTGCGTGAGGACTCCTGGGAGGGGTGGGGCAAGATGGGTGGAGCCAGCCAGGAGTAGGATCTGGGGGTTCTCCAAACTGTGCAGAATCTTAGCTAGAGGATCTCCCGAACCCCTGCAAACCCCCAGCAGCCCACTCCTGTGTTCTGGACCTGAAAAGAAATGTTTATACCTAACATGTGCTAAAACCAACCATGACCCTTAGCTTATGTTTCCACATTTCTCAAGCAAATATTTATATATGACAATACTTAGACAAACCAACCAAATGGAAAAGTAAAGCTATGCTAATTTTGTTTTCCTAGAATGTGTATGTCTTGCTATACAAAAAGTTCTAAAGTTACAATGGCAATAGGGACTGGAATTTGTCTTGTTAAGTGCTATGGTGGTAAAGCATATTATAGAATTACAGATAATCCTTGACTTATGACAGTTCATTTAGTGATTGTTCAAAGTTCCAACGTTACTGAAAAAAGTGACTTGTGACCATTTTTCATACTTATAACTACTGCAGCATCCCTATGGTCATATGATCAAAATTCAGATCATTAGCCCAGTTTGCCTGCTTTGCTGAACTTCTTGCTCCAGTTACTGTTCGGCTAACCTAGCTTACTGGACTGGTTGCTGTGTAGCTAACCTTGCTTACTGGACTACTCGCTTCTAAAGGTGCATGTGACAGCTTTGCTCTAGGACTTGTAATAGATGTGGGGACATTTGGGGGCACAGTTGGAGCAATAAAGGGGAGTTAGATCTGTTTTCTGGTTGTGTTGCTTTTGTGCCACACCCCGGGTCCTCATACTGCTGTGGGACTTCAACCTGCCATTCCTGGGGATGGGATTGGAGGTAGACTGAGATTTTATGGAAACCATAACTTCCATTGGCCTGTCCAGGTCATTCAGGGCTCAACCAGGAATAGTGGTCACTCATCCAATTTGATGTTCTTGTTGGAGCAGTGCCTATGTGACCAGGATTTGGTGGACTTGTCTTTGCTCCCTATATCATGGTCAGGTCACAATCTGGTGGCAATGAGTTTCTCAAGAGCTGTTTCCCCCCCTGCAGGAGGCAGAACCCATTAGATTGGTCTACCCCCATCGACTACTAGACCCAAATGGGTTCTAGAAGGAACTGGGGATTATAACTGCATAGTTATAAAGGAATATATACCCAGTGCCTGCACCACCGCTAGGCATGCAGATTGGCACTTAGAAGCCCAAAGGAGACCCCTTTCAGCTGGAGTTCTGTATCCAGCTGGGGAATGGTTCCCAAGACTGCCCAATTCTCAACCAGCCAGCTGCATGGTGGGAGGGGGCTTCCTGCCCACATGAAAAAGAGGCTGGGTTGCATAAAAGGGCTTTTCCCTCTGAAACCCTTGCAAGTGCCGGGATGCAGCCTCTGCCCTGGGAAGCCTCAATCAGGTCCATGCTCTCAGCATGCTCCAGCCTCCACCTGCCCTGCAAGGAGGGCAAAGTGCCCTCATGAGGCCAGCAGCAGCATAGGCAACTGCTTAGCAGCCAGCATGGTGCCTGCCATGGCCAAGAAGTTCTCAGCAGCAGCTGGTCAAACAGGCAGAACAGGTGGAGGTTGAGGCATGCCAAAAGCTTGGCTAGTGGAGGCCGCGGGCAAAGAGATAGTGGAATGGAGATGGCAGGGCCAGCAGTAGCTGCACTCCCATTCCGTTGCTGCCTCCTGCATGTAAAAAAAAAAAAGACCTCCCCCCAAATAAGCCCAAGTTCTTATTTTGAGGCTTAAAAGAAAATAAGAAAATCATCTTATTTTGGGGGAAACACAGTATTTTTTATTTATATTTTTATATGTTAGCAACAGAAATGTTGGGCTCAATTGTGGTCATAAGTTGAGGACTACCTGTTATAGAATTATATAATTTAAAACAATGATTAATTTGGGCCATTTATTTTATTATACTGTATATCCCAACCTTGTATAGAAGGCTCAAGTCAAGAGTGTTATTTAATTCCCAAAATTATCTTACTTAATTCCCTAACATCAACCTTATTCTGTAAAGATAATTGTCACAAGTGAACCATGTGTTGGAGTGAAGACTTAAACCTCGACCTCACAGTCTCATAGTCACAATCTAATACCTTGCTGAGAAGCACTATCCAGCGAAAGGAGCTTCTTCCTGTCTTCCTCTTGCTCACCCAAGTTTGAATCAGAGGAAAAAATTCTGCTTCAATTTGTTGCATTTGGGATTTCAAGGCAAGCTTCAGTGAAGTTCATAAAGGCTCCCAATTTATATCAATCCATTCCAATTTAAACAGCAGATAATGTGGTCAGGCGGGTGAGTGCCTGAAATCAGGTAGAAGGCCATCCAGACTTTTGTGTATCTACAATATAGGTATGAAATATACTCTCACTACAATTTTCATACTAAAAATATATGAAAGCGAACACTGTTGTTGAATAATAACAATGAACAATTTTACACCAATGCAAACAGTTCATGAAAGCTGGTTCTGTATTGTTGTCATTTTCTTTTATGCAAGCTATAATGCCACCTAATGCCCATATTTGGAATGCAAGTTACAAGTCAATTTTCCAGGAAAAATATTGTATTTTAGTTAATATATAATCCATAATTCAAAAGTTTTGCCATTGATAAAATGTTATTGTCTTATAATAATTAAAAATAATTATAATATTTAGTTATAACAACATTTAGTTCAATAACATTAGAAAAATAATAATATGACAGAGCTGAGGTCTTTTGGTGTGTTATAGAACCAACAGGGTGAACAGGGTGATATTACAATGAGAAGGTATAAAAGCTCTTCTGGGGTTTGGAGGGATAGTATTGTCAGGAAATTTATGGGAGCAACACTTTTAGGTGGCAAGGGTGAAGGTTCATTTTCCAAGCTTGTGGGTTGGTTTCCAAAAATTTCATTAAGAGGCTATGTTCAGAAACCAGGAAACCATCAGATAAGTAACCCATAAACTCAGAAAACTAACCTTTACCCTCATCTTACACCCGAGCTATAGATATTCGCCATTACTTTTAGGTGGGTTCAATTTTTGTTATTTACATTTGGATTATATTTGGACATTATTTATGAATACTTAATATAAGATACTTAAATTTGATTAGTATTTAGAATGGCATGTTAGCCTAGTAAAATAAGAAAGCAAATTAACTTGGAATTTACTTTTGAAATAAATCCTACTAAAGCTCATTCCCCAATAGAAAAGATTAGATTTGTTGTCTAGAATCTTAAATCTGCTTCACATGGATTATTTTCTAACTTCAAAATAAATGTTTTGATGACAAAAATACATCCACTCCATGCATCTACTTTTAGAGAATAAGGCTTAGTGGGTAATTCTACACTTGCTGTTATGAAAGGAAGCTTTTTGATAAAATCTGCTAAAGATTCTTTTGAAAGAATTTCTCACTGTTGAAACATGAAAAAACTGAGCATTAATCTGTATGAAATACATAATCTATAAATGCTCAAATTTTTCATATTTAAAAAAATCTGAATCTAATAACTTTCATTTAGCTTATTATAATAAACAATGTTGATGTGATTTTTCATAGTGAGATGTTTTAAAATTTAATCAATTCAAATTAGAGAATACTAAATATAAAGACCAGTAATTTTATTTTATCAATGTGCTGATTTTATGGCATGATTAAAAAGAATCCATGTTGGATTCTGATGGGGAAATATAATGAATTTGCTTGGTCAATATTTAAACATTTCCTATCCTAAAAATCTACACTGGATGAATGGAGAAAAAGCCAACTTATAATTTTGTCTCTTCCCCCCGAATAAGTTGCCTGAAGCATTTCCAAACCTTGAATATTTATAAGAATTTGTACCTAATGCTATGTGGGTTAATTTAATCCTAAATAAAGTATATCGCTTATGGGGAGAGATAGCCTTTAAAAATAGAAACATTCTCTCCTTATTTCTTCCTTCCCATTTTTACTTCCATTAAGGGTTGCAGATGACCTTAAGATTGATCCATCCTTTCTCTAACTTTCATTCAGGATCAGAATTCTAGAAGTTAGTCAGTTTGGGGAAAAGTCCAAGATAGAGTTGGAGAGTGGTCTTCGAGAATTCTTGTCATTTCCTCTGTTCCTAAGGGATTGCTGGTATTCCTTCTTGTCTAAATCCCTAAGAACTTTTCCTGGCTCCATATAGAACTTTTTACCATCAACTATGACCAAGTCTTTCTTTTGTGCTTCCTCAAATTCACTGCCACATACTGCAGCACCCTCTTCATTCATTGTTTTTAGAACAGACTCTGGAAATTGTCCTGCATATTTATTATGTGTTATTTCCAATATTTGATTCTGTACTTTGTCCAGTTCACTAGCTTTATGACCTTCCTTCTGCTCATCTGCTGTGATATCAAGAACATTCTTCTGTTCCACAATTTGAGTCTTTGCAAATTCCCCTAAAGGAAAATGAGCTTTGTTTTGATCATCAAAGTCTTTCATCCATGTTCTCTGCTGATCATTCAGGTCTTTTCTCTGTCTTTCTTCCAGCTCCTTAAGCATCATCTCAGCCTTGTGCTGTTCTGCTAAAGCTATTTTCTGAGCTCGCTCTTGTTCTTCCAAAACTTCCCTTTGAATCTTGGCCAATTCATTTATAGCATGATGAGCTCTTACTTGTTCATATATAGCTTTCCTTTTTGCTTCTTCTTGATCTTCCAGGGCTTTTCTTCGTGATTCTTCTAGTTCAATAAACATTTTCTTAGTTCTCTGCTGTTCTTCAAAGGCCAACCTCTGTGCTATCTGTTGTTCCTCTATAGCTTTAGCATGTGCTATCTCCAGCTTTTTCATAAGCAGATGTATTGTCCTTTTTTCTTCTAATGCCCTCTGCTGTGTTCTTTCATTTTCCTCCATGGCCAACTTTTGAGCTATTGCCAAGTCCTCTAGAGCTTTCTTTTGAGCAACCTGTAATTCTTCTAGAGACTTCTGCACATTTGCTCTTTCTTCCTTGGCTTTTCTTTCAGCCCCCTCTTGTTCTTCTTGAAATTTTCTCTGAGTTCTTATAAGTTCTTCCAGGGCAGCTTCAGCCAAATGCTTTTCTTCTTGAGATTTTTTTTGTACTTTTTCTTCTTTCTCCAGTATTTGTTTATGAGTTCTTTCCAGAGCCTCCAAAGCTATCTGAGCATTCTCCTTTTCTTCCAGAGCCTTCTTCCGTGCAAGCTCTAATTCTTCTAAAGTATTCTGTGACTTTCCTGTTTCTCCCATTGTTTCTCCCATTGTCCTTCCCTGCTCATTATGGATGCTTCTCTCTGCCCATGGCAGTTTTTTCAGAGCAGCTTCAGCCATTTTCTTTTCTTCCTCATTTTTTTGTTGTATTTGTTCCAGTTCCATCTGGGCTTTCTTCTGCTCATCCAAGGTCTGCTTATGAGCTTTTTCCAGAGCATCCAAAGCTTTCCGAGCATTTTCCTCTTTCTCCAAAGCCGCTGTCTGAGCAATCTCCAATTCTTTTAGTTTCAGATGAATTATTTCTTTTTCTCTGGTTGCTTTTTGCTGAGCTTTTCCCTGTTCTTCTTGGAATTGTCTTTGAGCTTTTGAGAGTTCTTCCAGGGCTGCTGCAGCCATTTTTTTTTCATCTTGACACTTTTGCTGCACTTTCATTTGTTTCTCTAGGGTCTGAGTGTGAGCTCTTTCTAAATTATCCAGAGTCTTCTTAGCATTTTCTTCTTTTTCCAAGGCCTCTTTTTGAGCTATTTTTATTATTTCTAGCTCTTTTTGTGCCTTCTCTAATTCTTTCATTACTTGAATCTTAGATATTTCTTGCTCTTCTTGGAATTTTTTCTTAGTCTCTAAGAGTTCTTCCAAGGCTGCCTCACACATCTTCTTTTCTTTTTGACACTTCTTTCGTGCTTGTTCCAATTCTTCTATAGCAGCTACCTGAACTTTCTTCTGCTCCTCTAGGATTTCTTTATGAGCCCTTTCCAAAGCCTTCTGAGCTTTTTCCTCTTCTTCCTGAGTTTTTTTCTGAGCAATTTCTAATTCTTCTATAGTCTTCTGAGTCCTCTCATTTTCTTTTATCGTTTTCTTCTTAACCTTTTCCTGTTCTTCATGGAATGTTTTCTGGGTTCTTAACAGTTCTTGCAGAGCAGCTTCAGCCATCCTTTTTTCCTCTTGAATTTTCTTTAGTGCTTTTTTCTGTTCTTCCAGTGCCTGCTTATGAGCTCTTTCAAGAACATCCAGAGTTCTTTGAGCTTTCTCCTGTTCTTTCAGGGCCTTCTTCCGAGTATTCTCTAATTCTTCTAACTCTTTCTGTGCTCTCTCTCTCTCTTTAATTGCTTTCTGTTCTGCTGAATGCTGCTCTTCCTGGATCTTTTTCTGAGCTCTTGATAATTCTTCCAAAGCAGCCTCGGCCATCTTTCTTTCTTCCTGAGATTTCCTTTGAGCAATTTTTTGTTCCTCTAATGTCTGCTTATGAGTTCTTTCCAGATTATCCAATGCATTTTGAGCTCTTTTCTGTTCTTCCAGACTCTCCTTTTTAGCTGTCAATATATTTTCTAAGGCCTTCTTCTGAGCAATGTCTAATTCTTTTAGCAATGTCTCAGCTTTTTCTTTTTCTTCTGTTGCCTTTCTTTCAGCTCTTTCTTGTTCCTTTTGTACTTGTTTCAAGAGATTTTCTAGGGCTGCTTCAGCCATTTTTTTTTCTTCCTGAGATTTTTTCTGTGCTTGTTCCTGTTCCAGCATGAAAGCCAAATGAGCCTTCTTCTGTTCCTCTAGTACCTGTTTATGGGCAATTTCTAGAGCCTGCTGAGAACTCTGGGCCTTCTCCTGTTCCTCCTGAGCTCTCTTCTGGACTTCCTCTAATTTCTGAATATTTCTTTGAAGTCTCTCTCTTTCTTCTATGGCTGTCTTTTCTGCTTTCTCCTTTTCCTCTTGGAAAGTTTTCTGGGTCCTTAGGAGTTCTTGTAGTCTTTCCTCAGCCATTTCCTTTTCTTCTTGTGATTTTTTCCATGCTTGCTCTTGTTCTTGAATAGCTAACTGAGCTTTATTCTGTTCATTCAGAGCACATTTATGGGCTCTTTCTGCAGCCTCCCATACTTTCTGAGCCCTTTCCTGTTCCTCCTGAGCTATTTTCTGAGCTATTTTTATCTCTGCTAGGGCAATTTGAGTTATTTCTCTTTCTTCCATTATTTTTTTCTCAGCCACTTTCTTCTCTTCTTGGAACCTCATCTGAGTTTTTAAAAGTTCATCCAAGGTCACTTCAGCTATCTTCCTTTCTTCCTGAATTTTTTTCCGTATTTGTTCTTGTTCTTCTATTATTGCTATCTGAGCTCTTCTTTGATCTTCCAGGGCCATTTTATGACATCTTTCTATAGCTGCTAGAGCACTCTGAGCTCTTTCCTGTTCCTCGAGTGCTTTCTTTTGAGCAATTGCTAATTCTTTGAGACCCTTCTGTATATTCTCTTTTTCTTCCATAATTTTTTTCCCAGCATTTTCCTGCTCTTCTTGAAGTTTTTTTTGAGCTCTTAAAACATTTTCCAAAGCAGCTTCGGCCATCATTTTATCTTCTTGAGATTTCTTCTGTGCTTGGTCCTGTTCATCGAGGGCAACCATTTTAGCTTTCATCTGATCTTCCAGGCTTTTTTTCTTAGCTTTTTCAAGAGCTTCCAGAGCTTTTTGAGCTTTTGTCTGTTCCTCGATGGCTTTCTTCTGTTCGATCTGCAATTCTTCTAGGGCCTTTTGAATTCTTTGTCTTTCATTCATGTTTTTTTCCTCAGCTCTTTTCTGTTCTGCTTGCACTTTTCTCTGAAAGTTTGACAGGTTTTCCAAAGCTGCCTCAGCCATCTTCTTTTCTTCTTCAGATTTTTTCCGTGCTTGCTCAATTTCTTCAATGGCAGACACCTGAGTTTTCTTCTGTTCCTCTAAGACCTTCTTCTGAGCAATTTCTAACTCTTTGAGAGCCTTTTCTGCTCTCTCTTTTTCTTTTAGGGCTTTTTTCTCAGCCTTTTCCTGCTCTTCTTGGACTTTTTTTTGGTATTGTAACAGTTTTTCTAGGGCTGCCTCTGCTTTTATCTTTTCTTCTTGAGATATTTCAAATGCTTGCTCCTGCTCTTTCAATGCAGCCATATGAGCTATTTTTTGTTCTGCTAAAGCCTGTTTATGAGTTCTTTCTACTGCTTCCAGGGCATTTTGAGCTCTTATCTGCTCCTCTCGAGCCTTTCTCTGAACAATCTCTAATTCTTCTAGGGTCTTCTGAGTTTTCTCTCTTTCTTCCATTGCATTCTTCTCAGCCTGTTTATGCTTCTCTTGCATTTTCATCTCAGCTTGTACAAGTTTTTCTAAAACTGCTTCAGCGCTTTTCTTTTCTTCTTCAGCTTCCTTCTGTGCCCGTTCACATTCTTCAATAGCAGCCCTCTGAGCTTTCTTCTGTTCTTCCAGTGCCTGTTGATGAGCTTTTTCTACATCTTCTAAAGCTTTCTGAGCTCTTGTTTGTTCTTCAAGAGCTTGTTTCTGAGCAATTTCTACTTCTCTGAGTGCCTTCTCAGCTATCTGTTTTTCTTGTGTTGCTTTTTTTTCAGCCATATCCTGCTCATTTTGAAATTGTTTCTGTGTCCTTAAAAACTCTTCCAGAGCTGCCTCCATCATTTTCTTTTCTTCTTGCATTTTTCTCCATTCTTTCTCCAGTTCCTCCATGGCTTCCAGATGAGCCTTCTTCTGCTCCTCCACAACCTGTTGATGAGCTATTTTTGCTGCTTCCAGGGACTGCTGACTTTGATTCTTTTTCTCAATAGCTTTCTTTTGAAGAATTTGTAATTCTTCTAGGGCCTTCTGAACTTTATCTCTTTCTTCCATTGCATTCTTCTCAGCCTCTTTTTGTTCCTCTTGCATTTTTATCTCAGCTTGTGCAAGTTTTTCTAAAGCTGCCTCAGCTCTCTTCTTTTCTTCTTCAGCATTTTTCCGTGCCTGATCATATTCTTCAATGGCCATCTGAGCTTTCTTCTGATCTTCTAGTGACTGTTGATGAGCTTTTTCTACATTTTCCAAAGCTCTCTGAACTCTTATTTGTTCTTCAAGAGCTTGTTTTTGAGCAATCTCTAACTCTCTGAGGGTCTTTTGAGCTATTTTTTTTTCTTGTATTGCTTTCTCTTCAGCCATTTCCTGCTCTTTTTGGAACTGCTGCTGTGTCCTTAAAAGCTCTTCCAGAGCTGCCTCCATCCTTTCCTTTTCTTCTTGCATTTTTTTCCATCCTTGCTCCTGTTCTTCCATGGCTGCCAGATGAGCCTTCTTCTGCTCCTCCATAGCCTGTTGATGAGCTATTTCTACTTCTTTCAGAGACTCCTGAGCTTGTTTCTGTTCCTCAAGGGCTTTTTTTTTAATAGTTTGTAATTCTTCTAAGTTCTTCTGAGCTTTCTCTCTCTCTTCCATTGCTGTTTTTTCAGCTTTTTGCTGTTCTTCTTGAAGCTTCCTTTGACTTTTGAAAACTTCTTCTAGGGCAGCTTCAGCCATCTTCTTTTCTTCTTCAGACCTTTTCCTCAGTTTTTCTTGTTCTTCTATGGCAGCCATCTGAGCTTTCTTCTGTTCCTCCAGTGCCTGTTTATGAGCTTTTTCCACAGCTTCCAGAGCTTCTGCTGCTCTTTCCTGTTCCTCCATAGCCTTTTTTTGAGCAAATTCATATTTTTTTAAGGCTTCCTGAGCATTTCTTTCAGAGGCTTTCTCTTCCTGCTGTTCTTGAATCTGTCTTTGAATCTTTGATAGTTTTTCTAAGGCTTCCTCAGCCATCTTCTTTTCTTCTTCAGATTTTTTCCTGATTTTTTCTTGTTCTTGTATCATAGCCATTTGGGCTTTCTTTTGTTCTTCCAACACTTTTTTATGAGCTCTTTCTACATCTTCCAAAGCTTTCTGAGCTTTTTCCTGTTCTTCCAGTGCTTTCTTATGAGCAATTTCTAATTCTTTAAGGTTTTTGTGAGCTAACTGTCTTTCTTCTGCTGCTTTGTTTTCAGCCCGCTGTCTCTCTTCTTGTATTGTCTTCTGAGTCCTGACAAGCTCTTCCTGGGCCAGCAAAATCATTTTCTTTTCTTCTTGAATTCTTTTCCATTCTTGTTCCTGTTCTTCTATGGCAGTCCTCTTAGCTTTGTTCAGCTCCTCTAAAGCCCGTTTGCGCATTTCTTCTACAACTTCCAAAGCATTCTGAGTTCTTTTCTCTTTTTCTAGGACTTTCTTTTGCATCACTTCTACTTCTTTTAGGGTCTTTTGTATAGCTTCTCTTTCTTCCTTTGCTTTCATCTGAGCATTCATCTGCTCTTCTTGGGTTTTCTTCTGATTCCTGAAAAGCTCTTCTAGGGCTACTTCAGTCATCTTCTTTTCTTCCTGAATTGTTTTCCTTATTTGTTCCTGTTCTTCCATCACTACTCTCTGAGCTTCCTTCTGTTCTTCCAGAGCTTTTACATGAGTCCTTTCTAAAGTTTCCACAGCATTCTGAACTCTTTCCTGTTCCTCGAGACATTTCTTTTTAGCAATTTCCAATTCATTGAGGGCCTTTTGTATGCTCTCTCTTTCTTTCATGGTTTTTTTTCCAGCATCTTCTCGCTCTTCTTGGATCTTTTTTTGAGTCCTGAAAAGTTCTTCCAGGGCTACCTCAGCCATCTTCCTTTCTTCCTGAATTTTTTTCCTTATTTGTTCTGGTCTTTCCATCAGTGCTGCCTGAACACCTTTTTGCTCTTTCAGAATCTTTGTGTGAGCATTTTCTATAATTTCCAGAGTGCCTTGGTTACTTTCTTGTTCCTTCAGGAAGTTCTTTTGCACATTTTCAACTTTTTCAAGGGCCTTTGATATTTGCACACTTTCTTCAATGCTGTTTCTCTGACCTCTTCTCTGTTCTTTTTGGATTTTTCTGTGAGCCATGGAAATTTCTTTCAGATCAGCTTCAGACGTATTTTCAGGATTTGCCCCCCTTGTTTGTTCTTGTATTTCCATTAATGCTATATTTTGTTCTGACACTGCCGTTTTTGCTATTTCTACCACTTCCGGAACATTCTGAGCAATGTCTTGTTTTTCCAGAAATTTATTTTGAGCAATGTCTAATTCTTTGAGGGTCTTCCATATGTTCTGTCTTTCCTGTTCCTTTATAGTTCTCCTCTGAAGAATCTCTGATTCTTCTAAAGTGTTTTGTGCACTCTGACTTTCTTCCATTACATTTTTCTCAGACCTTTTTTGCTTTTCTTGTTCCTTTATCTGAGTCACAGAAATGTTTCCCAGAGCTTCTTCCACCAACTCCTTTTCTTCTTCAGATATTTTCTTTTTATCTTCTAAGACCTCTTTATGACCAGTTTCTAAGTTTTCCAGAGCTAATTCTTCTAGGGATTTATCAGTTCTTTCTCTTTCTTCTTTTGCTGCCTTCTGATTCTTTCCCTGTTCTTGGACTTTTTTCTGAACTGCCAAGAAGTGTTCCTCATCTACCTCTTCCATCAAACTTTCTTTTAGAATATTTTCCTGTCCTTTCTTCTGTTGGCCTAATGCCCACATATGAGATTTTTCTAAAGCTTCTAGAGCTTTTTGAGCTCTTGCTTGTTCTTCTAAGGCTACTTTTTTAGCAATATCCAATTCTTCTATGGCTTTCTGACTTCTCTCTCTCTCTTTTACTGCTTTCTTTTCTGAACTTTCCTGTCCTTCCTGAAATTCTTTTTGCATCTTTAAAAGTTGTTTCAAGGTGACTTCAGCCATCTTTTTTTCTTCTAGGTAATTTTCTTTTGCTTGCTGTTGTTCTTCCACAGCAGCCATTTGAATCAATCTTTGTTCCTCTAAAACCTGTTTGTGGGCTCTTTCTACAGCTTCCAGAGTTTTCTGAGCTTTTTCTTGATCTTCCAAAGCCTTTTTCTGAGCAATCTCTAATTCTTCTAAAGCTCTTTGTGCTTTCTCACTTTCTTCTTTTGCTTGCCTCTCAGCTCTTTCCTGCTGTTTTTGAACCTTTCTTTGAGCTTCTGCAAGTTTTTCTAAAGCTGCCTCAGCCATCCTTTTTTGTTCCTGTGACTTTCTCTGAGCGTATTCCTGTTCTTCCATTGCAGCTATAAGGACTTTTTTTTGTTCCTCCAGAGCCTTTTTATGTGCTCTTTCCAGAACATCCAGGGCCTCCTGTGCTCTTTCCTGTTCTTCAAGAGCTTGCTGCTGAACTCTCTCTTGTTCTTCCAGGGCTTTCTTTGTGGCTTTTTCAAGCTCATCTAAAGCCTGTTGTTGAGCTCTGGCCAGCTCCCTCAAGGTTGCCTTCTGTATTTTTTCTTGTTCTTCCAGGATTATTTTAAAAGCTTGTTCTTGTTCACAGAGTGCCTTTTGCTGTGATTTTTCCTGCTCATCCAATAAACTCTGCAAAGTACTTTCTTCTTCATCAATTTCTTCTTGATAACTTCTGAGCTTTTCATCCAATTCATGTTGAAGAGCTTTTAGTTGTTCCTCCAACTCATTTTGATGGACTTGATGTTTCATTTCTTTCTGTTTAAGGTTCACTTGTTCTTTCAGTAAATTATCTTGGAATTTTTCTTCTTGTTGTTGTTCCTCTTCTTCCTCTTCTTCTATTTCTTCTTCCTCTTTCTCAAAATAGTTATCTTGTTTCATTATGCTTTCCTGAAAGCATCTCCCTCTGTTGTCTTGGGCCATACTCTTCTGTTTTGTCAGAACTATTTGCCTTACTCTTTGTTGTTCTTTGATGTTTCCCCCCCAATTTTCTCTCCATTCCTCCACAATGTCATTGTCATTTCTTCCTAGTTCTGCAGATGTCATTTGAGATCTTTCTTGCTTCTTATAGGTTTCTTGAAGTTCACTCAAAAGAGGGTTATTCTTCTTTTCGTCAACTTTCTCTTCCTGCTTTCTCCTGAGCCTGGCGATTTTCTGGGCCTTTGGTTGTACCTCTTTTAGCAAAGCATAGGATTCTTCATCGTAATCTAATTGACAAGCCAAAGCAAGGTCTTTAGCTGCCTTTTGCCAGTAACCAAGTATTTGCAGTGCTTTTCCTCGCCACTTGTAAGGCTGGGCTGAGTCAGGATTTATTTGTATGGCTTTATCACAGTCCCTAATTGCAGCAGTTGGCTTTTGTAGCTTCAAATAGACCCTGGCTCGGTTTGCATATAAGATAGTAAGATGTGGATTGAGCTTAATAGCTTCTGTGAACAAATCTAAAGCTTTAAAAAGTTCTCCTTTATTGACTGCATCAAAAGCTTCCCTCTTCTTTTCATTAGCTAGTTTTCGCATTTCATCAGTTACTTTCAAGTTTTCATTTCCCATCTCCTGAGGAAGATCTTCATCTGACTCAATAACCTCTTCTGTATCAATTTCCAATTCACTGTCTTCACTTTCTGATTCAGTTTCATATTTTTGCTTCCTCTTATGTCTTTTCTGAGCTCTTCTTTCATGCAATTCAATGTGCTCTTGTTTTTCATAATCCATAAACTGATCTTGTTCTTGTACTGCAGACATGGGATAATTTTCATTTTGATTTTCTGAACAATAAAGAGGGAATAATTTATAGTTTTGGGAATTATGCAGAATTGTCTTTTCCTCAGAAATGTGAAATGTTCTTGGGTCCAGTTCTTGTCTGCAAGACTCAGGAATAACTGATTTCTCTTGGGGACTATTTCCTTGTATTTTCCCAGAAGCTTCTTTCATTTTGCTCATCTTCTCTTTAAATTCTCCCTGGTTACTTTCCTCTGGCTTTTCCCAGCATTTCATAATTTTCTCATCTTTTGTTTGTATTTCTTTCATCTTGGCATAAGTACCTTCATCATAATCTAGTTGACAGGACACAGAAAAATCTTTAGTAGCCTCCTGCCAATAACCCAACATGCAAAATGCCTCTCCACGGTACTTGTATGGTAAGGCCATGTTAGGATTTAATTTTATGGCACTATTACAATCCTTTACAGCAGCAATTGGCATATGAAGTTTCAGAAAAGCACTGGCTCGGCAAACATACAAGTTAGTAAAATGGGGGTTTAGTTTGATGGCTTTGGTGAATAATTCAGCTGCTTTTTGATATTCACCTTTCTCCATTGCATCCAAAGCTGCTTTCTTGTTTTCATTGGTCTGCTTCCATTTCTCATCTGTCTCCACATTTTCGTCTATTATTTCTTGGGAGTCTTTATTATGGTCTAGCTTCATTTTCTCTTCTTTATTCCTTACTACTTTATTTTCCAGTTCTATGCTAATACCTTCTTCTGTCTGGTCTTGTTTTTGATTCTCTAAAATTAACTGTGCTTTCTTAATCTTCTCCAGTATCTGAGATTCCTTATATGTAAGGATGCACTTTGCTTGCCTTTCAGAAATTCTTTGAAATCCTGATTTTAATTGCTTTAGTGCTACATTGGCCTCTTTGTCATATTCTAACTTAGAAGCTAAAGCAAAATCACAGGCTGCTTTTTTTAAACAGCCTAATTCCTTGAATGCTTTTCCTCTCAATTTTAATGATTCTGATGATTTGGGATTCAGTTCAATGGCCATGTTGCAGTCTTTAATAGCAGCATTTGGTTTTTGCAGTTGCAAATAGACATTGGCACGGTTGATGTAAGAACTGGAAATATTTGGGTTACACTCAATAACTTCAGAGAACAGATCAATTGCTTTCTGAAGTTCAACTTTAGCTAGGGCTTCTGAAGCCTTTTTACTCTTTTCATTGATTTGATTCCTTACCTCATCAGATATATAAAGGTTTTCGTATTCTATTTCTTGGATATTATACTGCAATTGTTCTATGTTTTCCTCATTATAATTCTCCAAATTGTTCTCATTCCATGCATCTTCCTGAAGCTCACTGTCTCTCTCTTCTATACAGATGTCACCTGCAGTAGGTGACAAGGAACTGACTACAGTTTCAAATGATTCCCGGAGGAAAAGACGATCTTCAGAATTTGTAAAGTTGAGATCAGACCTGAACCTTGGAAGATTACTTGATCCCATGATGAGGAAAAATGTTGATGTAGCTGGATCTTAAAGGGAAGGAAGAATTTTTAAAAAATGATCTAAGAGAGGATTTAATCCTTATTCTAATGAATGATCTTATGAAAAATGGCCTTCATTCCTCTCTGCCATGGTCCTACTTCTATACTACCATTACTACTTAGTGAAGTAAAACTTAGTGTTAGATTCAACAACAAAGAAAGTTTTGTGATGTCATCAATCATGTCATCACTGGAATCCTCAAGTATTGTGTTTTTAAGAATTTCAACAGAAGCATCTTATCTCTTTTATTGATTGTTCTTGAATGAGGTTAATGGTAACATATGTAATGGAGGGAACTTATTTTTTAAATGCACAACAATGCTTCTAGATTACTTTATTATATGAAAAAAAGCAATATACTTGTTTACTGAAATGACTTTCCAACATTTTTAATTAAAAATTATGAAGTATCATGATTTCAGATGTCATTCAGACTTCAAAATTGGTATGTCATATTATGGCAGATTGACGCAAGGTGCCAAAATAAATTGCTATATGTGGCATGGATATAGCTAAAAACTTTTCTTTTAACATCAGCCTTAAATTATTAGACTTGAACACCTAACTAGCTAAAAATGAAGCTGGGTTAAAAAATCCCTTTCTGAATGGTCAATAGTTCATACTGACCCAGAGCCAAGATGATCATACAGCTTCATTTCCAGCTGATATATGCACAAGAAATATAAAGGGACAAGATGTTATAGAACTGAAGTTAAAGGGACAAGATGTTATAGAACTGAATAAAGGCAATCTGATAAAGGCAATCTGTACAGATCAGTGGTGAAATTCAATATTTTTTTCCTACCGACTGTGGGCTTGGCTGTGGGCATGGCTTGGTATACTTGGTATAATAGTAATAGCAACCTGGGGTGATTTTTTACTGATTCAAATCGACTCTACCACCTCTCCCGAGGTGGGCCAAGGTGGTTGAATTTCACTCCTGCAGAGGTGGTATTCAGCAGGTTTTGACCAGCTCTAGAGAACTGGTAGAGGAAATTTTGAGTAGTTCAGAAAACCGGCAGATACCACCTGACTGGAGATTTTAACAGTATCCTTCCCCTGTCACGCCCACCAAGCCATGCCCACAGAACCAGTAGTAAAAAAAATTGAATCCCACCACTGCACCCCGGTACAGATGATGAATTCCAATATAAGTATAATTACCAGTAATATGAAGTATTTAAATTGTACATCAGAAATTTGAAATGGTGCCCATGTAAAGTGTTTTTGGGGACATTTTTTGTGGGACAGTTTTAGATCTTTATTTAGGTCTTATGTATTTTTAAAATATCTTTAATCATCAGCCTAGAGCCTTTTAACACATGCATCGAGGGTTTCAATGATTTAAGCCAATGAACCACTGAATTGCCCCATTCCCCACTGAACTGATAAGAATTCTGCAGTTCTTTCTAGAACAGTATAACTGTGTTCCCTTCCTTACCAACACCACCCTGGCCCCTCTTAATGGGTGTACCAGATGGATGTTGTCACACATGAAGGAAACTTGGTAGTTAAAGAGGGGAGGGGATACAAAATGTCACCCAGTGAAAACTACATGCTTCCAAATCCCAACTAAATTGGGATTGGTAAACTGATTGATTCTTACTGTCCCAACCTAGGGGTGAAAGCCATCAATTGGAGACATTGGTAAAGGCCATTTGGACAGAATAACCAACCATTATTATTGCCCAAACTGAGAATGATTTGGTCTTTTATTTCTTTGTTAATCCTGTTTCAATTTTTGTTGATTTTAATGCAGGAGGGAAATCGTTTTATGACCGCTATGCAGAAAAACCCGTCATCCATGACTGCAGACAAAAATGACAATCCTCAGAATCATCTGCATTTCTGAAAGCCATTTTTAAATAGGTGAAGGTAAATGTCTATAATTCAGTATTTTGTGTTTCCTTTGGGTATACACTTATTTTGTTAGGGTGTGATGATTGATTTTCCATATGTATGTTTCTCTGATATTAACAATTTATGTTTCTGCAAAATAGACACTGCAGGGGTTTGGGGTAGAAATACATGATTTGACTTTTAATATTTAGCTATCACCAATTACTTGATCTCTGAACCTCATTAATTTCATAGATAAGCTTTGAGTCACATTAGTTGACTTCTGTAAATGAATATTTCAACAAAAAAACCAAAATGGATTAAAACTGAGGTATTGTTTTGAATCAAGACCTTTAATTCTTATCTTCTTAGTTCATTGTGTATTTTATGTTTTTGTATACTCTGGTTTACTATGGTGGCTTTTTCCCCCAGTGAAGGGATAAGAATGGTTTAATTCTTAAGACCTGATTCAATTTTATAGGTCATTCTTTTTTCTCTCTCGCTTTGCTTTTTTCCCCATTATCATATCAGTGCTGAGGTTGCATTTTTAGTAGTTCGGTATATACTGTATGTGGGTGCATTGAAGTAGAAGTTAAGGCATCAAGCTAAAAACCGTAAGTTCTAGTCTCACAGTAGCGTGACCTTGGGCGAGTCACTCTCTCACTTCAACCTACCTAGCAAGGATCTTATAGTGTAAAAAAAATTGGAGGAAGTAATATTAGGTATGTTCGCCACCTTGAGTTATTTACAAAAGCAATAAAGGCGGGATGTAAATAATTAAATGAACAAACAAATCTATATCCTTTTTCTAATACATCCTGAACTTCTTCGTGGCTCGAAATTGTGAAAGGCACAATTCAAAAATCTGGGGTTTTAGTATTGAAAATAATACGCGTAACCTTATTAGAAATAGAGTCCCTGGACTCTCATTTATCAGACAGACACGAATGCCTACAAAGACACCTACGTGCTCGGTTGAGACTCGGAAGTGTGCGCCTCTTACGTAGGCTCTTCTTCCGGTTCGCGTTCTCTTTGCTACGTGTCTTAAGAGGCCTCGTTGGGTAACGGCGTGTGGAGTGTATCGAGCCTCTCTCCGCAGCTGTGAGTATAGCTTAATTACGGTTAATTCTGATTTTTGTACTGTGTTTTCTTCGGATTGTTGGCGAAAAAGAGAAATAATGAGGCCTTGGCGTTTTCAATGCCAAAATTTAGTTAAAGCGCAGCTCTTTCCTCTTGGCTGGTTGCAAAATATTTTAGCTCTCCCGATTTCAGACCTGTCGTTTTCTCAAGACCATATTAAACGTTTAATTAATTCTTTCTTAAATTAACCCCAGAGGACGATTTTTCACAGTGTCCTGTTCGCTCTTTCCTAGTATCGAAAGCTGCACCTACGTTTTATAGTTTTATGTATTTTCGTGAATTACTGGTAATATTTTAATTTAAAACAAGCACTTGTATCTGTAAAGCCCCAACTATATAATATAATGCCGTTTCGTACCAAACGCAGTACGAGAAAAAACAACCAACGGAAGGCAACAGTGGTTGCAGAAGAAAACCACTCTATATACGCGCAGTTCTTTTTTCTTTTTGCTATAAAAACTGATGTCTAAAAAAAGGTCAGTTTGCCTATTAATGAATCTTGGTAACATTTTGTATCTTATATATGTATTGAATTCTTGTACTTATTTATTGTATATTAAAAATGTATATATAAACTTTGAAGATTACTTGAAGGGGTCCAGCACATGATTAGTATAATTTCCTAATAGTTAGCTACTAACCACTGATTGACCAGTAACTAGTTGACACACTTCTTTGTAAATCAGGATCACAGTCTGGCAATGTGTTCAGTTTGGTAGAATTAAGGTTTTTTTGCTTATACTGATCACTCAGCATTTAGACATGTTAATCAAATGAGATAAGGTCACCTCTGAAATATTCCCAGATTTAATTTTATAGTTAATAGCCTCTGAAAGATTAACCACAGCCAACAGCTTTAATTTCTATAAAAGATCAATATTATCAGAGATACTGTTGATTAAAAAATTACCTTTGCTTCCATTTATTTTTGAAAGTTACTTTGTTTTTGGTTTTTCAGTTCATCATGGATCAAGTAATGCAATTTGTAGAGCCCAGCCGCCAGTTTGTGAAAGATTCCATCAGACTTGTTAAAAGATGCACAAAACCAGATAGAAAAGGTAAAGTAATCAAGAGGAAAAAGGGGAAAAAGAAATCTATGGTGATATAAAGTGCAAGAAACAAACCATTTCTGTCATCACAGTGGATCCATCTCAGGTTTCCATATCAAAGCATGTTTTCATTGATCATGCAAAATATTCTTGGAAGTCTTCAAAATAAAAATTATTTTTAAAAAATGTAATATTAAAATGTGAAGCAAAAGTGGCAGAAATTTTGGTAATTTAATTTTAATAAGGTAAATGTCAGTAAACATAACCTGTACAAAACACACCACCTTTGGAATCCACAATTTTTAATGGTGTGAAAGAAAAAAAAAGCACTTCTCTAGTGTATTAAGTGTTTCATTTGTAAAGTATCCAAAATACTTTTAGAGATTAAGTACAGGTTGCATTTTAAAAAGATATTGAAGTTTTCTTCAGTACTTATTTTAACAGTGCAAGAGGTACATTTTTGAAATAGGAGCTACAAGGGGACTTTTTTTGATAAAGTGAGCAGAGTGATTTGAACTGGAGCCCAGAAACATGTAATACTAGCTTTATCAGTAGTGAGCACATTTTTTCTAAGTGAAAAATTGACCTTTTTCTTAGATTTAGAGAAGATGGTTCTCACACAAATGCTGAGCCTAGAAAACACTCAGGAAGTAATTAAGTCTGATTTGGTATCTGATTGCTCTTCCAACATTTGTTTGACAACAGCCAAAAAAGCCAATGTAGTCCTAGACTACATTAATAGAGGGATAGAATCAAGATCATGTAAAGTTCTAGTACAGCTTTATAAAAGTCTTAGTATTTGGAATACTGCATCCAATTCTGATCACTATATTAAAAGTTGAGACTTTGGAAAAGGGCAAAGAAGAGCAGTAAAAATGATTAGGGAGCTAGAAGCTAAAGCATACGAAGAAGAATTACAGGAATCGGCTA